CCTGAACTGGGATTTACACTCTATTTGCATCATTTCCAAATGCAGCTTAATAGACATAGCCTAAGTTCCTATTTGAGAGGGCTTTCATGTAGCATTGAGTTACATAAGCTGAGAAACTCGGAATGTCATGATGCCATGTTTGCCAAAAATCTGGAAAACTGAAAATAGGCTTACATGAACCGTAAAATCAACTTTCCCGTGGTAGTTTTTCCAAAGTGGCTTAGTGAACATTGAAGCCCTCCCAAACGGGCTATAAAAGAAAAAAAAAAAGAGAAAACGTTTAAAAGTTAAAATTTAAAGCCCATATAATCTTACTCATAAAAAAAAAAGCTCATACAATCATGACAAGCAGGGGAATACGGTGTAGTGCAGATTGTCTTTCATGTTTCAACCTATGGCTAGGAGACCAAATCTATTAATTATGAGTTAGTAACATGACATTAATAACATCACATTAATTACGAGTTGAGTTAATAGCACACATTAATAAAATGGGCAGCCGTGTTAATGTTATGATGCCAAATTTGAATTTGAATGGATAAGTGATCCTATTTTACCATATGTGTTCAAGCATGTACAAAGTGTTTAGATAGAAGAGAAGGGTATAGCGCTGCCAACTGACATCAGCTGAATTTATAACTTTACCTGCAAAACCCACTTTTATGGCAAAAGCAATAAAAGATAAGTACTTTTGTTTTGAGGTATACATATGATATGCCCAACATAGAATAAGAGACCATGAACATGCAACCCTCATTCATCCTCGGCCACCAATGTCGACGCATGCATTCACACACTTCAACAATCTTGTGTGTGCATGACGTATGACGTAGGATAGAAATCATGGTTGAGCTTGAAATGGTGCAAGTTACATGTTGATAAGAAATGATCTAAATTCCATTAGATCGAAACTTTGAAAACACACCAGAAAGTAAGAGAAAACTCTGAAGAAATTGTATTCAAAATTCACTACATGTAAACAAAGGCTTAGGGTCTATTTTATAGGCCCTAAATTAAAAACTTATTCAAACTAGGAAACCAATTCCTAATAGAAAAAAGAAATAAATAGGAAAGGAGACAACTCCTACACCTTTCCTAACTATAACAAATAAAAACTCTACTAAGACTAGGAAACTCAAAAAAAGAAACAAATAAGAAAGTTATGAGTGTTTCCATAGGACTGTACGTTTTCATCATTTCATTCATTTTTGGGCAATTTCTTCCTATCCAATTGCTACATGTATTTATTTTCAAACTGCTCTACATCATTCCCCTCCACTTGAAAGAAACTCGTCCCTAAGTTAATCTTTGGATAASCTAGACCATTAGATGGAAAGTACTCATACAAATCAACAATATTAAAGGTTCTAGAGATATTCATGTCTTCAAGAAGATCAACAGCATAAACATTGCCGTTGATTTTCCTTAAGATCCGATAGAGACCATACTTCTTCGGCTTTAATTTGTTGCAAGTACCAATAGGAAACCGCTCCTTACATAGGAACACCATTACCTAGTCTCCTACATCAAATACCTTTGTTCTCCGTCGCTTGTCAACCGCTGCCTTGTACATGGCATTGGACTCTTCTAGCTTCTGTTTCACCTCTGCTATAGTAGCTTGGTGATGTTTAGCCATGGCACTAGCTGCAACACTCATGCTGAAAACATTAGGCAGCCTTACCAAATCTAGGACATGCCTGGGCTCCTTCATGTAGATGATGAAGAATGGAAATCTTCCTGTTGAACTATGAACAATGATGTTAAATGCAAATTCTGCTTGAGCCAAAATGTTGTCCCACTATTTAGGTTTGTCACCACAAATGCTCCTAATCAAATTACCTAGAGTTTTGTTTACTACCTCAGTCTGTCCATTCGTCTGAGGATGTGTTGTGCTACTGAAATTAAATTCAATGTTGAACCACTTTCATAATGTCAACTAGAAGTGAGCTAGAAACTTATTGTCTCGATCTTAGGTGATAGACTTAGGCACTCCATGCAAGCGCACAATCTCCTGGAAGAACAATTTTGCCACATGCGCTACATCAGTAGTCTTATGGCAAGGAATGAAATGTACCATCTTTGAAAACTGATCGACTACCACAAACACAGAGTCTACTCCTCTCTAAGTTCTGAGGAGTCCTAACATAAAGTCCATAGATAAATCCTCCCAAGGTTATGATGGCACTGGCAGAGGCATGTAAAGACTTGTGTTTTGAGATTGACCATTTGTGACTTAACAAACAGGGCACTGTCTCACATAATTTCTAACATCCTTCTTTAACTGAGGCCAATAATACCTTTCTTCCATGCTACTAAGTGTCTTGTCTCTGCCAAGATGGACACCCAAACCTCTAGCATGTAATTCAGGAATCACCTTGTCCCGTAAGGATGTTCTAGGGAGACATAGTTTGTTTACCTCGAACAAAAAACCATCATGTACAAGAAAATCACCCACGGACTATTTGGTGGTATGTTTCTCCTATGTTCTGCCAAAGTATTCATCGGTTTCATAAAACTCCTTCAAGCACTCGAACCCAACAACTC